TGAACGCAGGGGAGGATGGAGCGCAAGGAGTGCCAGGATGAGGGAGCTGAGAGAGGGAGCTGAAGGAGAGGAGGGAGGGAGGGAGGGAGGGAGGGAGAGAGACCGAGACCGGGGCAAATTTTAGAGCAGAAATGGAAACTTAATAAAAGTTTTAGAGCAGGAATGAAAGGAAGTAAACTACACTTGGAAGATGGCCAAACAGACAACTTGAGAGATTCAAGTGCAGGATGTGACCTTTGCCTTGGGGTTGTATACACTGGCATGCTTCTGGGGTTGCGTTACTTCTTCCTTTGATGAGGGCTGCCCACATGCATAGTGGCCTGCCAGCTCTTGGGAGGGTCTGCATGCATCAGGTGTTTACTGAAGTTGTACACATGCTCACTTGAGGTGCTTTTCCCTTACCTGTCCAGTGTTTCTAGAGGAAGGTCATATTCCAGTTACACTCCATTTTGCCTGTTAGGGCACATGCGTGAGCCACTCACCCAGCTCCTGAGATCTTATTGGGAAGATGCTGATCACCGTCTATCTGTTGGGAGACTGCCTTTCCCTGGCATAGGCTGCCACCAATTATTATTTTAGAGAGACGTTTTTACAACCACCTAACCATCAATTCCAGGTGGGGGCGGGGCGTCTTCTGCCCTGCTCATGTCTGACTAGATATCAACTCTAACAACACCATGTATTTGTAGTAGACAATTTATATTTGACAGTCAATTTCTTTTTGTGCAGCAAACAACATAGCAACCCCCACACTATCACTGGACCATGAAGAAGAAGAAATTATCCAGAAACCCCATATCATTGATCAAATTATTCAAGAATACACACTGATCTTATTCTGAGAGTTTGTCATCTGAACAAGTTCCTAATTGTCTCATATCTCTCTTTATCCAGTCACTAGTAAGAACACAACTTCACAATCTAAAATACCTTCACTACTGTCCTCACACTACTATTACGAGACACAAGAGACACCAAGAGACACACATGACTTAATCTCATTTAATCATCATACCTATACATCTATGCAGTTCCATATTTGAAAACAGCAGACTTTTTAGTCCTCCCTACCTGAATTTTTCTTTGAGATATTTGTTCCTCATTTTTATCAGATCAGAAAGAACCACCCAGCCTGCACTACCTAAAGAGGCTTTCCTCACAAGTCACTTACTAACTTGCCATGGTTTAAATCTCAATTGTTGCATATGTCACTCTCTGTACTTACCTGTTTTCTTATTTCTTTATTATCTGAAACTCTGACTGGAATATGAGCTTAATGAGGCCAGACAGTTGTCCTATTTAGCCCTGTATTGTACTTTTCAAATTATCAGGCAGTTATCTGAGTTCAAGAATTCAAATATTTCTTGAACACGTGTGAATGAATGAAGATCCTAAATAGTCAATCCATAGGTTTGTAGTCTTTCTAGGTATATAGACACTTTTGAGATTTTTCAATTTTATCAATTACTTGCCATCCTGAAGATTTGAGTAATAAAAGATTTTTTTAGGGATTATAAAGTCTTTGGCAATTAATAAAGACAAGTACTCACAGGTGGTGTTTAGTCATTGTTCTCACTGGCAGTTGGAACCTTGGAAGAGAAAAGAATATGTGGGAATAAAAATATTGGGCATGAAAATGGAATTTTAAATATGTGCATTTCAAATTATGACTCAAGGTACCAGACTGATACATCTTATCCCTTGCCAATAAGCTATGTCATTTGTATGGGAAAAGTATTGTTCCAAAGATATACAGCTTGATAATGAGGGATTTAAACAGAATTTGTAGACAGATGGAAAAAAAATACTTCTGGCTAAACATATGAGTCTAGTCTCTATGCAAATAGTAAGTTTAACATGGCAAGAAAAATGGAAGAGGTGGTCAGAGATTCACAGAAGGAAACAATATAAACTGATACTGAGTACAGATAGGCAATTTAAATTTCAGATACATACTTAGAAGAGGACAATAGATAATTAATAAACTGGAGGGTTCATCACAGCACTGCTCACATTGCCCTCCAGGAATCAACACATTTAGATGAAGTTAGGCTGAGTATTAGAATGTGAAAAGGAGAAAGCATGCAGGACTTCAAAGAGACATTTTAGGAAAGGAAGATGAGGGAGAGAAGGGAGTTCCTGGTCAAAAAACATACAGGCATACAGGAAAATTCATGAACCTAACCCTGAAATCATCCTAGAGAGACCATAGGTGAAACAAAAGTGAAAGGGAAACTAAAAATAGCTTATTGGAAGGTCCTACTTCGCCAGATGAAGGAAACGGTGTCATCAAAAGAACAGAAGAACTGTTAAAAAAAAAAAACTACGTTAAATCTGTGAATTAGAAAATAGCATTGTATCCATGTTAATTTCTCCCTTTTGTACTGCAGTTCTGTAAGAGAATGTACTTATTCTGGGGAAATGCACACTGAAATATGAGTGGTAAAGGGGCATCATGTCTGCAACTTACTCTGAAAAGGTTCAGGAAAACTCTATTTTTGCAGATACAAACATACATATGGATATATGTATTTTTATAGTACTGCCACATTCTTTGTTTCAAATTATGTCAACATTTAAGAAAATAGAGTACATAATTAAGAGATTTTTTAAAACCTGTTCATATTTTAGAGCATGATGAGCATTATGATTGTGAACAATTTTTTTCACTTCTTTGAAACTCAGCTACAAAATGAATGTGATACTTATTTGTAGATTTATTGTGATGATGAAATGGAATTGTACTGTGTTTTGTAACTTACAAAGAATAGTGTTAACAACATTGCCATTATTATGAGCATGATGGAAATTTTAGTAGGCCTGGAGGCAAGATAGAGTAGCATTGGGGAATTTTCACTCCTAAGTTTCTGCTTGAAGTATTTTTCAGCTGAAAGCAATTTTGCCCTATGTGGTAATCACTTAATCTCTCTAAGAATAGAATAAATGACTAGGAGAACCTAATTCTGAAGATAATGGGGGAAATTTATAAAACAAAAGTTAAAAAAAAAACAATAAAACTTCTACGTTGGAAAGATGAACTACAAAGAATTTGGGAAATATGGGAAAGGAAAAGGATAGGTATCCTCAAACTCAGCTCAAAATTTCAAAATTAAGCCCAAATTTACAAAACAGTTTAGATTTTGCAACATAAAATAAGATTATTGGAAATGACATATGCTTGGCAATGTGTGCACCACAGCCCTGTCTGTACAATCTCAAGTTATCTAGAGGAGGAAGAGTGATATAAAGGAAGAGTGATATAAAAGTCTGACATCAAGAAACGCATGTAAGTAACAGATCTCTCAGCACTTACTATAAGCCAGGAAATATGAGGTGCAGAACCCCAAAGACAAAGAAGGTGGATCTTGGCCCTCACAGAGCTTGCAGTCTCATCATCATTTCATACACGTACAATAGTTTTTATATGCTTTTATTTCCAGATTTAATAGACAGCTTCAAAAATATTTATTTTTTCCATGTTTCACACTCAAATAATTTTAAATCACAAAAATGAGACAATATGTGCAAATTTAAAAAAGAATATAGGAGAAAAAAATGAAGACTTTGCTGAAACAATCTAACTGTATTACAAATATGGGACATAACCTCACTAAAGTGGGTGAGAAGAAAGGAGGTACTGATCTAAGCAACTTCAGACTGACGATATACAAAAAGACAAAAAGAAATTGACACAAACACTATAGTTGTTAAAGTTGCTTCTCACAGGGATAAGGGTTAACTTCTGAAACCACTGTATATACATATGAGATTGACAAGTAAGTAAGTGGATGGTGGACAGCTTTTCATCCTGGAGCAGGAGGTTAGAGATAAGCAAGAGGGACAGGTTAGAATAGACCATGCTGTACTGGATTAGAGTTTGAGACATCAATATTAACTCTCGTTTAATTTATGATAGATACTAATGGTCAGATACAGAATATAGACATGTAGATATAAGTGGGTTCCCAGCTCTATCTGTTGAAATGGTCTGGAAGTGATAACACCACAATAGCAATGAGCTTATCCATGCCCAGAACTTGGTTTCCAGTACTGCTCTTCAATAAAAAGAACAAGGATTTCTTGGAGAAATGGAAGATTTCAGTAGGACTGGGATAAGAAATGTACAAAATAAACCTGGAGCATTTTGTAGTTTCTCAAAGTAGGGAAGTACTAAAAAAACAAAATGAAAGGGTATGTCAAAGGGACACAGGGACCAACTGAAATACCTCCCAATGGCCAAAGCTGAAAAAAAGTGAGAAACAAAATAAGTAAACTATTGCATTATATGCCAGAGCATAAAATAAATATCTATAAGTCCATACTGATATAAATAATTGATTTAACTTTTAAAATGAGGGATAATAGACAAGTTTTTCACAGGAGAATTCCACATAATTATGTAGATAATTCCCCCACCAAGATGGTAGGGTGTAAATTTGGGCTACATGTAGTGACTTTCTTCCAAAGAATACAGGATAAAAAAGGGGGAGGATTGGGTGAGTAACTGCTTTTAAGTGTAGAAACCTGGAAAGTGTTACTGCAGCTAGATGATGAAGGTTAAACTCATCAGTGATAAATCATGTTGAGAGCATGTACCTTTGACATGATGTCTTCAGAATGGCATTTCACTTTCTGTGGCCTTCTCCCAGAAAAATAATAAATAAATAAATAACTCCAGTCTATCCACAAGAAAAAAGCATCAGACAAACCCATCCTGAGGAAAACTCTAGAAAGTACTCAACCAGTACTCCTTAAATCTAAAAGTCTTCAGAAGCAAGGATTGTCTGAGAAACTGTCATAGCCCAGAGAAACCTCAAGGATGCATAATGATTAAATGTAATGAAGTAGCTTGAACGAGATGCTAGAGCAGAAAAACAACATTAGGGAAAACTAATGAAATCTTAATAAAGTTTGGAGGTTAGTTAATAATAATGTATCAGTATTGGTTCATTAATTGTAACAAATGCACCATAACATTAAGATATTAACAACTGGAGAAACAGGATGCAGAGTATACAGGAACTCTGTATTATCTTTGCAATTTTTCTGTAAACCTAAAACTATTACAAAATAAACATTTATTTAAATACATAAAAAATCACACAGGCATAACTATCATTATTTTTAAAGTAGCTTCTCAGATTCCACAGCATAGCTGTCTTTTTTTTTAGGAGTTAAAGCTTAATAAACCTAACATGCATGGAACAAACAAAAAATAACAGCAATTTTTTGTGGTTAATGGCATAATGATTATGGTTAAAACTGAAGGCTTCAGTTCCATTAACCATAATGTTTGTACACAGTGTGTGCATGCACTTGTTCATTTTAGTGTGGTACAAAATTGGGAATGTAAGATTCTCCATGGTGTTTCTTAGACATAAGAAAGTGTTGGTTGGACTGGATCATTCCTAAGCTTGGTTGCATCCCAATGATTCTCTGATATTGATCCTGAGAGCTTTGAAGTCATCTTGTGATTTTATATGTTCTGTCCTCTCGCTAAGGAATCCTTATCTATTGGGTAGCTGAGATTCCAGAACTTAAAATGGAAACAAACATTCTATGTTTAATAAATAGGAAAATGGGTGATGGATACAATACGTAATTATACCAAACAGTGAGTGTTTTAGTCCTGGTTTTACCACTTCTGAACTACATATACACTGGTGGGGGAAAAAAAAAAAAAAGCCTTTCTAAAACAAAAATAATCAATTCTATTGAGCTGTGGCATACCCCATGAACTCTCAAATCTCTTTGATATATGACATTATCATTACGTTAGCAAGGATATTCTGTACCATCACGTTTTCAGAAATTGGAGTACTGATTCTGTAAGAGGAAATGAGGCTCTAAATAAAGGAATATTTTATTTGGGATTATCCAGAACAAAATGCTAATAGAATACGGAGAGAAATTTCTCAAAACATTTTAAATTAATAAGGCTAATATTATACAGTAAGAGCACATAAAATGCCAGAAATAGAGAAGAAAGAAGGCTTATATGCAAATATTAATCTTACCACTTCAGATGGTGATGTTTTCTCAGACTCATAATAATTTATGCATTTTTTCTTGTAAAATTATTCTTTCTGAGACTAATTACTTGACTAAGTTCTGTAAATGACATATAAAAGTCCTAAAATAATCAAGACAGTTTCATACAGAAAGATTTAAACTTCATAATTTAAAAAATGTAACTGCCCTTAATGTTTCTACCTAAGCTAATTACCTCCAACAGAGATTAGCGCTGGCTTTCTCCTCTCAGGGGAAGTAGGTGATGATTACGCATTAAGTCTGGACAACTACAATAGTTTCTTCATTGCCCTTCCTACTTTTTGCTAATTATTTCCCAAAGCTATTTATTTGTTATTTTCCCATTAACATTTTCAGTGTCATGCTCCACGAGAAACTTTTCTATAATTAGTGCATAAATCAGACAGGATCACTCACCTGGTCCTTGTGCCTCTCTCCCTTTTTTAGTTATTAAATTTAAAAAGTGAAATGAAATTTCTTCTTTCTCAAAGCCAAGTTGAAGGCTGTATGAGCTTTACAAAATTGTAGCAGTTTGGAAAAAAGCATCCAACATATATTC